TACTTACTGTCCAGCTCTGGCGATGGTTAAGTCTACTAGCATTCAAAGCTGCTAAGTCAAGACAATCAACCATAGCTGCCTTTTCTTTAAAAATCATGTCGAGTGGCCTCACACCTTTAGTCCTACTGCTGGGAGGCAGAGGCAGGTGGGTCTCTATGAGTTTAGGCCAGCCTAGTCTACAGAGTGAGTTTCAGGTTAGTCAAGGCACATAGTGAGGCCCTTCTTAAAAAACAACATCACAGTCTATGCTATGGTTTACAAAACTAACTTTTGTCTCTTCATCCACGGTGTGGGGAAATGACACCTTTGGACTGTTCTGGGTCTCTGCTTACCCAAGTCTGTTCTCTTCCATGTCACCCAACAGGCCCCATGGGGATGAATGGTGTCAAGGAGGGCTGGACAGTGGGGAACACAGACTGGTCTAGGATCCGGGTCCATTCATCAGAAGGCCCTAGAGTGTGTTTTGTGAAGAAGTATCCCAGAGGCCTCTCAGGACCACGTGACACAGCCAGACTGCACACAGGGCCTCTAAATCCCTACGTTTCTATCGTCTCAGGATTGCATGCAGTGTAGCTACGCCTGTGTGGTCCCCCAGCTCTGGAGGGCACAGGCTGGAGTTAGAAACCAGCCAGGAGGGAACCACATGCCAGGGTCAAGCCTGTCCACAGCAATATCACGGCTCAGAGGCAGCTGCCCGTCTCCCATCTGTTTTGTACAGAGGGCGGGTCAGACAGACTGAACTAGGCCAGGTCTTGCCTTTTCTTCTCTCTCTAGACAAGGTCGGCGTCTTCTGGATGCCAGGCCAAAGCCAGAGTGCTAGGAGAGGGATATGAGTCTAACCTCCTCTGCCCTGTGAGCTGAAGGAGACCTCTAGCCTGCTTGAGGCTGGCTTGGGAAGCAGCCTCCGGGGAAGGTTGAGCTCCCAGCCCCAGCTTCCTCCATTCCTGAGATGACAAGGTCCCTCCCTTCCTCCCTAAGGGAAAGGCATCAGGCTTGTCCAGGGGACCAGTCCAGGAGAGCTACATCCAGGTCTCATTCCAGTCCTCTTAGCTGTCAGAGAAGCAGTATAACAACCTAAGCTGCTTAGCGAGGTTCAAGGAGACAGCAGGGTTAGGAGTGGGGGCAGGGAGCCCATGAACCCGCCCACCCTTTGGGAGAATCAGATGGCTACAAGGAAAAAAAGAGAAGACAGGAGTTCTACTCACTGTCCCTTCCAGGGACAGTGGTCACCTAGAGGTACCCCAATATCTGTGGCCAGATGAGTGTCTGCCTACCATGTCCTCAGCTCCAGGGTTGGAGTGGTGATAGCCCGGGCTTATTCTCTTGTGAACACAAATACAGATAAGATAGCCTTAGATCTTCATACAGCACAGCAGGCAGAGGAGACACTTCCCAGAAGCCCTACCCGACAGTCTCCTGAGAAACAAACCTAGCCGCTTGCCTACCTCCAGCCTGGAGCAGTGCTCTCTTGCAGATCCTATTGCTCTGACCATCTTGGGGTCCTAGGGTGCAAATGAGCTGGGACACTTGTTCTGGATCTGGATCTCGGGGAGAAATGGTGAAAGTGGCACTATTCAATGCCTGGACAGACAAAGATGGAGGCTTTCCTCCGCGCTGATCTCTCCTCCCGGGATACACCTTGCATCTCTCCTAGCCTGGCTGATGCCTGCCTGCTCAGCCTTCAAGTAGCTTTTCCTCCCGTGGAGCTTTGGAGCTCTAGGGTGGATTAACGCTCGGTTTTCCTTAGTCCTCCCTGCACCCACTGGCGTTCATGAATACTTTCATGACACAACCAGGTATTTGTTGCACGCTAGATACCACAGGCTGCCCTGTGCAATGGGGTCTCCAGTAGACAAGGCTTTATTCCCAGCGCCCAGTGGGGAAACTGGTCTTGAAGAAACTCCCTAGGTCTTGTGAGGGTGTGGCAGTTCAAAAGGCTCCTGCCTGCGGCCTCTGTGCCTCCCCCCTTCTAAAAGCCCCTTCCCTCCTGCCTGTTGTGTTGTCTTAGCGAAGGTTTGGGAACATAAGGTGTTTGCGCCACCGGACCCCACCTAGATAAAAATCGCTTTCTGCTGGGCGGGGTTGCGCACACAAAAGCTGCACAGCAGACAAAGATGGAGCATTGGGGGACGCAGACTGCGGCGGAGACAAAGATTGCTGTAAGGACAAAGGCGGAGCCGCAGCTGCTGCGTGCACGCGCATCGTTCGTGCTAGTGCTCTGCGCTGAGGGACCAGGCGCCCCCACCTGGCCTTGACTCTGGTAAACAAGTCCATTGTTTAAAATCGGTAAAGGCAGAAATTCTCGTCCCCAAATAGCCCTTGGCTCTGAGGCAGAGGAGGGGTGAAAAACGTTCCCCAGAGTCGGAGGAGGGCGATGCCTGTTGGGACAGCAAGGTTACCAGCCCGCAATCCCGGCGGTTTTGCGCATCCCGGTCCCTTTCCCAGCTAGGAAGGGCTTCTCACTCTTCGTATGAACACCCGCCCGTTCTGCGGCAGCCGGCGTGCACTGGAACCCCACGGGACCGCGTCGCCAGTCGCTGCATAAAAAGACCCCGCATTGCGGCTGCGCGCGAGCGCGCGCTTGAAGGGAAAAGAGTGTGTGCACGGCGCGCGCTGCCCGCCCGCCCGCGTTGCCCCAAATCTTTGGGCGCTGCAGTCTCCTCGCCCCACCCCCGCCTTTGCACACACGTCCCCGCTGTCTAGTGAGCTGTGATGGAGAAGGTGCCCGGTGACCGTGGCAGGGACTGAGCTGCGGAGACGCGAGAGAGGGAGGGAAGGGAGAAAGAAGCTTACCACCGCCCGGCCGCTGCAGCATCTGCCTGCACATAAAGCTCACTGCCAAGCCAACCGGTTGGCAGGAGGCCAGGAGACCCCCGCCCTCCTACTGGCTGTCTCAGCTGTCTCCAGCACTGGGGCAGATTATGTCCATGGCAGTCTCGGCGCTGCCCCCTCCCCCACGAACCCTCACATGGGAGAAATGGTGGGCAAACCATGCTCATTCGATTAGGAGCTCTAGAAGCAAGCGCCGGGGAAGCCCCTGGGTTCCCAGGCAGGTGGGGTCTCACAGTTCAGCTGACCCCACCTCTTCCCCCCTCTCATTACTTGAAAGAACAAAGGGAAAGGAATGCCAGGTCCCTCTGTAGTGCTTCTGGGCCTCAGTGGATAGCAGGCTGGCATTCCCCGGCCAGGTAGGACCAGAGTTCCTCAGAGTGGCTCCCATAGGTGTGGGGCTAGACTTCTAACTGGGTCCCGAATGGTAACAAAGCCAGCGTTGCTCAGGTGCCCAGATGCTATCTCTCCTGTCTTACTTAGCCAAGGGGTGGGGGGCATTTCAGCATGGAGCCTTCAGAAGAGAACACTCAGCCTTGGAGCAGGAGGTTGCAGGGAAGCAGGTGCCCAGCTTGGCAGCAGGTCCACTCCCAAAGGCTAGGACTCAGGGGTGTGTTTGTTATGAGGTGGCCAGGCTACTCCTCACAGCACCCTCCCCTGCCTTCATAAGCACCAACAAGCATACCCGGCTGTCTGCACTCCCAGGGACCAGCAGACGTTCTGTGTGCTTGAAGGCCTTGCTTAGCCTGAGACTCTGCTTTGAAGACAGGGCCCTACCTACTGTGTTGAAAGACAGGTCCCAGCACCCTTAGGTTCTACTCTAGCAAGGCTACCTGGGCCACTCTAGGAGAGCCGGGAGTCTGTAAAGCTTCCTGCTCCATTCCCCATTTGTTCTGCAAAACTGAAACCGGATTTCCTGAATAGGAGCCCCTGGTCGCCCTGCCCTTACACACTGCGGGTCATCAGCTCATACTGGCTCCAGTCCCAGCCAGGGATGCTGCCAAGACCAGCACGGTGCTCCCAGGCATTGCTGCCAGGGTGCAGAAGCCTGCTGACCCCAAACCACCCCTGGGAGTAGCTCTGGAGAGTCCATGGGCCAAGGAGAGTTCAGCTGCCAAGCATCCTGTGACCTGGGGGCGGGGGAGCAGGGACAGGGATAAGGTTGGGCTGAACACATTGAATTCTAGAAAGATCTGTGTGTGTGTAGGGTATGAACCAGCAGCCAATGGGAGGGAGGAATGTTGCGGCCCCAACAAAGGTACCCATGACCCCTGTGACCTCCCCAGGTACTTAGGCCTAGGTACCTGGATTTGTGCCCTCTGTACCAGTTCACCCAGGCTTGCACCATGCCCAGGTAGGGAAGGCAGGCAGGCAGCCTCTAACCCTGGAGCGCTGTAGCCTGTCTTTGTCTTTTTTTTTTTCCCTGCAGAGACTGTTGCACCCTGGGAGGAAGAAACTTACCCACCAACTCAAGGCCCAGGCCACCGATTCTGGAAGCCTCTGCCCCTCCAAAGCCAACAACTTCTACCCCCTCCTTTGCAGTATACTTTCAGCCACAGTCAAGAGCCCAGGCCTGTCTTAGAAGCTGCACAGGGCAGAGACTTGAATAAAAACAGCCAAGAGGCCAGGGTGGTGGGAGTAGAGCTTTCGGGAGGAGACAGGGCTACTTATCTCAGGCACACAGCCTGGTGACCCAAGCCTCTGAATCTGAACAAAGCCTGGGCCTGAGGTAGTCCCACAACACCCACACTGCTATCCATCCAGGGGGTGTGGGGCTGGGCCACGCCTCCAGGACCTTCTGCCTGTGGGAAACACAGCAGCGGCATTGGAGGGCATAGTAGCTGTTTGGACTTGCTGCGGCGCTCTCGCAGCTCCTGGAAGCTTGTTTGACTACACGGACACCTTGGCGGGAGTGACAGCCATAAGCCAGCCTCACACACTCCAACTGTCCCCAAGAGGGGCTGAATTAAGATGGGGCGAGCCAGTAACGAGACACAGGCTGACGGATGGCACCTTCACAGTCTGATGGGAGGACTCAGCGGGTCCTCCCTTGGCCCACCCTGATACCCGCTCCTGCCCCTCTCTTCCAGCTCCTTCTTTCTTCACATCTATGCACCAACCCTTCTCCCTCTGCACCCACAGGGTAACCAGAATGCCATTACTGTTCTTACCGTCCAATGACAGCCAGTCGTGCTGAGAGGAAGGGAGTGTGGGCAGAGCCCGAGCTTTGTACTCAAACACCACTGAGTTGGAGATGATCTGATTGTTGAAGGCAACTTGTAGGGTCACAAGACCAGTGTCATGGGCTGAAAGTCAGAAAGAGGGAGGTCAGGGTGAGGTTCCAGTTAACAACCATTAACCCTGCCCACGCCTGCCTATCCCATAAGGCTCAAGGGTGACACTTTTGGGGAAACTCTGGGCTGCGGATTCAGCAGGAGTCTGGCTGGGATCCCCAGAGGAACCTCTGCTTGTTTATTGTCTTGGTTTTGTTGTTGTTGTTGTTTGGTTTTTGAGACAGAGTCTCACTGCAGAGCCCTAGTTTGCCTGGAACTATGTAGATCAGGCTGGTCTCAAATTCCCAGAGAACTGCTTGCCTCCATCCCTGAGTTCTGGGATTAAAGGTATGCGCTGCCACACCCAGCAAGCCTCTGTGGTTTTAATCCTGCTCCCTGTGATGGGCAGGGACCTGAGCTCAGCACAGGTGGCTTGGCACATCCATCCTTCCCAGGTTCGGGAACATCTGAGGATTTGTATTTATTTCGCCTCTTCCTGCAGTCATGCCCTGACTCACTTCATGTAACACCCTCAATGCTTTAGGAGCTCCTGGGCCTCCTACTGACAGCCAGCATTTCATCTGTAGCTTCCTGTGGCCCCTGTTGGCCCGAGATGCTGTGGGCCAGGGAGGTACTGAGCTAGAGATGCAAGTGAAAATCTTGCACTGCCTTCCAACGACTGGGAAAGCAGGGTCTTGTATTCTAGTGCACACTCAGGGCTCGGCTTACTTATTCCTGAATGAGCTGAGTAAAGTGCATGAAATATTCTCATTAGGCAGAAGTGAAGCCAGCTGGAGGTGGGGACCTACTTCTGCTGAGGTGAGGCTGCTGTATTGTGGTCCCCAAAAATGTCCACAGGCAGAAGTGGCTATGCTATGGTTTCTTCCCCTAATAGGGGTCAGGTTATGTTTTCTGGGCACTGCTCTTCTGGAGCTGGGACACCAATGCTAAGGGCCACCCCAGTGGGCTGGCCGGATTTCCAGGGAGGACACAAGGATCGTGTTACTGTTTAGGCTCTTGGCTTTCAGAAGCCTACGGGTATGAGGAAGCCATCCAAGTCAGCTGCTCCTAGGACAGGGTGAAGCTCTGGCTTCCCCCAGAGGACATCTGTAGATCCCACTTCCGATGGGAAACCCATCGGCCGTGGCTTCTCTCCAACTGAGGTGTGTGGAAAGCAGGTTTGGGGGATATCACTCTCCGAATGTGACCAGTAGGTTTTCCTGCTCTGATGCAGGATACAACCTGGAAGAATGGGCTTCATGGTAGTGGGGGTCATGCAGAACTTCCCATGGCATGTCTCTGGACAGGGATCCCCCAATGGTACCCAGAGTCTTCTGCCATCCGACTACATCCCTGGGCAAAACGCCAAGGTTGTGGTTACTATTCTCTCCTACAGACATGCCTGGTTTACCAACAGGAAGGAAGGACTGTGACCCCACGGAGGAACTCTGTTCTCGAGGTGGGGAAGCTGTAGCCTCTGGTGTCCAGAGTCCCAGGGAAGACCCCTTACCATGGCTCTTTTGTCCTGACAGCTATACAACTTCCAGCACTGCTGAATGAAGCAGAGTCTCGGGCATCCTCACCACCGTGCGGAAGGTGTCAGGCCCAGCTCCCTTGACTCCCTCTCTCCCTCAGCAATCCTGGCCTCCTGTCTGTGAGGGTTCTGCCTCTGCTCTCGGCAATGACCACGCCTTCCTGTGCTGACACTCACGCCTCCTGCGCAACAGTGTTCCTGCTGCAAAGGCTGCAGGGAAGGGCATGGGTGGGGTTGTTGTGTGTGGGGCTGTTGTGTGTGGGGCTGTTGTGTGTGGGGCTGTTGTGGGTGGGGCTGTTGTGTGTGGGGCTGTTGTGGGTGGGGCTGTCTTGGGGAGGCTGTCTCGTGGGGGGGTTGCAGCACTCTGAGAGGAGGTTAGTTTAGTTACCTGGGGAGTCTTCTTCCTTAAAGTTTACCTTGTCCCCCTGACTTTGCCATCCATCCATTCATTTTTCCTCCAACTAATTCTCTCAGAATAATCTTTTTTTTGACATGGTCACACTATGAGGTCTTGACTGGCCTGGAACTCGCTATGTAGGTCAAGCTGGCCTTAAACTAAGAGATCCACCTGCCTCTGCCCCCACCCCACACCCCAGTGTTGGGATTAAAGGTAGGCGCTAACACACCCATCTTTTAATACATCTTTTAAATACACAATTTAGAACAGATCACCCCGCTGCCTAAAACCACTGACTTCCCAGCAAGTACAATTAAATTAGACTCCAATTTGCCAAACCTGTGCCTGCCTCAGGGCCTCTGTGCTCCCCTCATCGTCTGCCTGTTGTCCTGTTGTGACTCTTTATTCCACCCTTCCCAAGACTGGCTGGGTGCCATCCTTCTTCTGCCAGCCTCCAGGGGATGCGCCTCCCATGTCGGAGAAGGAGCTGCCACTGTGTATATCCTCTCTACTTGCCCCTATGGCATCTCTTAGCTCCTTTGTTACTTTGTCTCCCTGTCAGCCCCCAGCAGCTGAGACGTCAGTCAGTCCATCCACAACTCTGCTAGCTGAGCTGTCTTAACACGGGTTCTGCTCACTTTTGCCTTCTGAGGACTTCCTAGGAGACCAGGTGGGACGTGCAAGCCAGCAGACATCTTGGTAGACTCCTCCACCTCTTGCCTCTCTGTTCCACTGTGTCGCTTTGACCCGGCTGACTGCCCCTGAGCTCGGGACAGTCCCAGTCCAAGTGTCTACTGTCGCAGTGACAGTGTGAACATGGCAGAGCTCTGTTTTCAGTCAGGGCTGGTTTTGGGCAGGCAGGTGCACCAGGCTGCCGAGTAGTTGGCATTTGTGTTCTCCAGATCTCTCCCTTCCCCATCTCGGCCTCTAAGGTGGCCTGGCTTGTGTCCACCTGCCTTTGAGACCCTTTGCGTTGGCAAGGCCAGTTCGGTTCTAGTGTCTGGTGCTTCTCCTTTAAGATCAGCTTCTGTTTCCCCTGGGAGATCCTGGGCTGACATCCCTAGCCACTCTATTACCTCCCAAGGATATAGTTGGTTGACTGACCACGCCCATTGGGGGTGGGGGACATGGATATCTCCCTATACTTGACCAGGCCTCTCTGGACTAGAAGCTCTTTGAGTCAGGTGCCCCTAGGGACTTCAGCCACCTACAGAAGACTCTTACAAATGATTTGGAAACGATGAGTGAGTGAACTGATCAATCAATACACCCAACGGGACCTGTTTCGATCTGGATGTTGAAACTGAGACATCCTCAAAGGACATGCTCTGTGAGGTTGGCTGCCAACAGGAGGTGCCCAGCAGCCAGACCATGGCACTCAGCCTCTAGTTTTGCAGCATCTGGTTGGAGATGGGGTATTTCAGCAGTGTCCCAGTGACTAGGCAAAGTGGCATGGGTGGACTCTGAGTCCACTGGGACCCAGGAAGCGGTGAGGTCACGAGAATACCCAAAGACATTGGAATAGCTCTGGTTCTGTCCCCTCACGGCCTTTTGTGAGAGGATCACTAGAGGCAAGAGCTTCAAGACCCTTTGTCATTTCCTGTTCCCAGACATCTGGAAGGAGGGCTCTAAAGACTGAGGTTCAGAGACACCAATCTCCAAGGTGAAGCTACACAGATGGCTTGTGACTAACCAGGACGTATCTGCATGGGATTGATTCTAGCTACCAGAATCCTCTGGGTCCTGAACTGGGATACAGAGGTCATACAAAGCCCAGTCCTTTGTCAGGTATAGGGATTTAGCCAGGTATAGGAAGCTACGTCTATTTATAGGTCGGGCAAGTCTCCTTCCCGGTGGACAGATTATAGCATGCTGCCCTGAATTCTGTGCTGGGGTGGGCTGTCTAGGCCCAGGGTGGCCAGCTGGATGGGACCTGGCTGCCTGAGACATGTAGGGTGAAGGAGGCACTAGACTGAGCTGAGCATTTGATGCCAACCCCCTAAAGCAGGGCATTCTAATCTGGTGGGTTGTACAGGAAGGCGGGGGCGGGGGGGGGGATGAGCTAGGAAGGGAGGAGAGGTCAGGAAGAGGAGGGAAGGGGAGAGGAGGAGCGGTTGGTTTGTAAGCTCCAGAGTGTCACAGGGGCCAGGGGAGCAAAACAGGCAGGCACTGAGGAGACCTCAGAAGAGTGCCGAGGGTCCCTGTTGGCCTGCACAGCCCTGGCCAGCCTGCTTCGACCTGGGAGACCCTATTTCCCATCCCTATCCTGGCCCTCTGCTACACGCACCTCCCTTTCTCAAGCTCTCTGGCTTCAGACAACGTAGGATGCCCCTTGGCCTTTGCCCACCCCATCTCATCTCTTCCTTATGCCTCTCCTGTCCCTTGCCCCGGCCAGGTAGACAAGCTGTCCACACAGCTGGTGGTGTGCAAGGCTGGGACAAGGATTTACCCAGTCTCGCCCAAGAAAACAGGAAGCTCATGTTTTCCAAACTGCTTTCAAACTCTTGGAGACTCAGTTACTCCTTCACAGACCTCCAGGACCCTAAGGTGCTTTGCTAGCCTTGGAGACACAACAGTGTCTAAGAAAGACACAATCTTCTGCCTTCATGGGGCCCACAGGCTGGTGGGAAAGTAGATATGGTCAGAGATCAAGGATGAGTTAGCCAGACAGAGATACCAATCCAAGTAGATCATGGCTCCCTAAAGTGTAGGTCACGATACCATAGGGTGTTGCCAGATGGAATGGCACAATAAAAGGTTTCTAAACATTCAATAATCAAAAACTCAACATACATGCATAGTGACTCCTCCCTGCTCCTGACAATCCTTTCCCTGCCCGGGTTGGATTGAGTGACATCACTACACTTGGTTCTGAACACAAAACGTGTGGTTCACTCTGCCATGGCTGCCACGGCACATGTCACCAGCAAACGCTGCCTGAGACGTCTCAGCTCTGACCTGGAATTTGCCTGTTATGAACTGCAGTGTTCTCTCTGCTCTGACGGAAACACAGCTTAATTACTGACAGCAGAGACTAAATAGTTCCTGTCATTTCTCAGCACATAAGTATCAAATTAGTCCATTTGGATCGTGTTGTACTAGAATGTTTGCTTGTAGAGGTTGCTTTTTGAGTTGCTCATTAGTTTCATTAAAACAAAACAAAAAAAATCATTAAATGAACTATGCCTTGGGATTAAGACAGAACTCTTCCAATAATTTCTAAAGTGGCTGTAAGCAAATTTCTGCCATTTTTCACTACATATTTATGTAAATTGGCATTCTCAGTATTGACGATTATAAAAATCAAGATATTTGTCAACTGGAATGTATTGATGTTCTATGCCCTTTAGTATCAAATAGCCAAGATTCCCCCCCCCCCAGGACAGGATTTCCCTATGTAGCCCTGGCTGTCCTGGACTAGCTCTGTTGACCAGCCTGGCCTCAAACTCATAGAGATCTGCCTGAGTACTGGGATTAAAGGTGTATGTCATCACTGCCTGGCCAAATAGCTAAGATTTAATATTTTGTGGAAAAATAAACAAACCCATCCATTTTGTTAGTATGCAAATTTGATTTCATCTTTAACAGGTGATAAAATTATATGAATACTAAATAATAGTCTTAAAATAATTTTTTTGTTAAATGGTTTGTTACCAGTGACTGACTTATTTACCAAGTTTACATGTCTGGATGTCTGAGGCCCCTTAGAAACTTCTCAGGTAAACAGGGGTTCTGAAGACCTCATGAATTAAAGGATGCTGAAGCCTGGGGGGTGAGGGAGCGAGAGGACAGACCCACAGAGGTATGGCATAGAGCTCTGACTGGCTTTCCATGAGGAAAACTTATTATATGTGCTTATCCTTTTCCCTGGGTGAATCTCTTAAGGGAGGTTGTGTTCTTTATTCTGAATGTGCTACCCCACCCCACCCTACTCCACCCCACCCCACCCCACCCCACCCAGTTGCCCACAGTTCCTACACACAGAACGCTTCCCTGAATGTCTCTGACCTGCTCTGAGCCCCAGACAGACTAGTTTTGTGAATGCAAGGCCTGGAGCTCCCTTGCATTAGGCCGGCCTGGGCTGAGGCAGGAGTGAGGTCAGCCCTGCCGTAGACCGGATCTTGTCTGTTTCCTTGGCTCAGCCCCAGCTGGGGCCACCTTGGCTATGTCACCTGACTAACTGGGTCTTTAAATAGTCCCCTTGCTATGTTTTCTCCACAATCCCCACTGAGCATGCCTGGTGTTCCCAGTTGACATGGGGTCTGTGAGCCTCAACGGATGATGTAACAGATTGCGTGGGCATGCTTCTTCATGGCTGAGGAAAGCAGAGTAATGGCCTGACTTGCTCAAGGTCACCCCGAGGAGGCTGACTCAGAGTCTACTGTCCCCGTTCCGTCTGTCCCACCCCCGCCCTTGCTGGGCACAGCCTCCTCACCTGGGCAGTAGCAACGCAGCACCCCAGGCTGAATCAGGGATGCGGGCACGGAGATCTGGTCAAACAGGCAACTGTAATTATTGCTGGCTTCCTGCCATGGGCCTGTGATGAGGACCTTCACTCCTCCCTACAGAGAGAGAATGGAGATGAGCAGCGCCAAGGAGGGGACCCCTGCAGCTGCAGGCTTCGCTGGGGAGGGAGGAGGAGCATGCAGATTCCCAGCCTCACCCCGGCAGCCCAGGCAGTCTGAAGAAAGGCCTGCAGCTGTCCTGACCCCCAGAGGCCTTCCTCAGCTGGCACCTAGCACCCTGACACTGTCCTGTGCACCTCAGGGTTCCTTGGCATTAGCTGGGAACGAGGGTTCCCATTTCACTTCAGCCCACTGGTGTGCCTGGGAACCAGCCAGCAGGGTCCCCAGGAAGGAAACAGGGAGGACACGGGACTTTCAGGCATGCATATAGGGAGAGGTGGAGGGGACTCAGATTTGAAAACAGTGTCGTCATTGCCCCCCCCAAGGGACAGATGTTCCTACGGGAAACAAGGGAAGCCCAGGACCCCAGGGTGTGGTAGGAGGTGGCGAGGGGAGCAGCTCAGGAAGTGGGTGGGGTCAAGAACGGGGAAAGAAAAAGCACAGAAGCTTTCAGAATTCATATGCATTCATATGCAGCCCTCCCTCAGAACTGAGCTGAGGCCTGGGATCCAGGCCGAGCTTCCCGCTCTGGGCCTGCTGTGTCGCTCAGGGTGCCTCGAGCGCTGTAGACACGAAGAACGGCCCCTGGCTGGCACCGCTGCATCACACATGCAGGCACCAGCCTGGAAGCCCTGCCAGCGCCTTAGCTGACCTTCCTCAGCTCCAGTGGATGGAAAACTGTCTTCACAGACCCAAGGTGCCAAGGGTGAGACGGATCAGAGAGGCTCGGCCCTCCCTAACCTGCTCTGGCTGGCCAGCAGGCATACCCTAGAACAAGTAGCCTCGTGTGGCTGCTCCCAGCAAAAACCCGTTCAGGACCATTGTTCCCGCTTGTGATTAATGGCACCTCCTCTCTGTCTCTCTCTCCAGAGCCCCAGGTGGAGGAGGCTAGAGGTCCCCTACTTACGGCTTAGCCAAGAAGAGAGGCTGGTCATTCGGGGTGGAAGGATGCTCTGCCCGGGGATGCAGAGGGCAGGGGCGCTGGCCTCTGGCTCTCCTGGCTAACCTTGGATAGACCCACCCTAGAGGCTCATCCACCCCACCCCCAAACAAGTAAACACCTTTCCCTGCAGGGGGGCGGAGAGCTGTGTTGGCCAGAGTGGAGAGCGCCACCTGGTGGCCTGGCTAGAGAAGGCTGAGAGGCGCTCCAGGAGCTAAAGCGAGGCTGAGCTGAGGCCAGTTGGGAGAGTTGTGGCAGTGAGCCCTGACTTCCCCACCGCTGCAAGCCAGGCCCTTGTCCTCTGCTGCTATTTATTAGACCTTGTCTCCTATTCATTCCTTCATTCTTGTCTGCTCCTCTTAACCCTTGCCTGTCCCTGCCTGAAGGGAGCTCCAAACTCCGTACCCATCTTTGCTCTTAAGTCCCCCTCGCCCCCCCCCCCCCGCAGTGTTCCTCAGAACCCAGACTTTGGCATGGCAGGACTTGCCTTGGACATAAGAAGTAGCAGATGTTGTTTACCATGGTGGTGTTCTGGGGCCATGGATGGCCCAGAGCCAGCAGAATTGCCCTTGGCAGGAAGGTACCCTCTCGTGTTAGCAAAACAAGCTTTCCTCTGGGTGGGGATGTCCAGCTAAGGTCACTTTATTGTAGAATTCCATTCCAAAACCAGAATGCACCCTCCATTTTGGGTTATTCATGAGTATATTTTTGCCTGCATGTATGCAAGTGTACCATGTGTCTGCCTGGTGCCCTCAGAGTTACAGATGGTTGTGAGCCACCACGTGGGTGCTGAGAATTGAACCCAGGCTCCCTGCAAGAGGAGCCAGTGCTCTTAGCTGCTGAACCTTACCCTCAGCTCCCTGTGTCTGGCTCTTGCCCTCGGTAACCGTGACCTCGGTAACCGTGACCTCGGTAACCGTGACCTCGGGCAAGTAGCCCAATCCCTCTGGTGGCTGTGGCCTCCTTAGATACCTTTCTTTTCCATAAAGTGGATTCAGGGCCCTCTCATAGTGATGGTGTAGGAGTTGGAAATGGCTGCCTGGGTGTGATGTCCTGCCCACGGACCCTGGGAAATGGGAGAATGCTAGCTTCAAAAGGTCACAGGCAGCCATCATGTGACGGGGGGGGGGGCGAGTATAACAACTGCAATCCACAGCTGCTGGCGTGGCGGTGGGTTGCTGTGGGGGAACAAAGAGCTGCGGAGATGACTGGAGAACATCAAGACCTTCTCCATGGCAACTGCCGCAGGACGCCTCAGCATCCATCAGTTCCAGGGGCGGTTCCCATGGCAACCACTTGCCTGGCTGCACTGAATCACTTGTGATGAGTGCGTGTCTGACAGTTCTAATTGCGGCTTCTTCTTCCTGGTGCAGCAGGGGCCAGTGGCAGGAGCTGATGCGGGGGGGGGGGTTAGGGAGGGGCACTGGTGCGGTCTGAGGTCTATGTCCTGGGGGTCCTGGGATGCAGGGCCTTGGGTTCCAACGTACCCTGGGCAGATGCTAAGGCACACGGCCCTGTGTGTGTGTGTGTGTGTGTGTGTGTGTGTGTGTTGGGGACCCAAGTGGGTAATGTAGGAGACATGTAGCAGAGGTAGGAGGGAAGCACACTCAGAACGGAGCCAGTAGGCCAGGCTAGGCATGGCATGCCTGGGAACCATTGCAGTTTAGAGCTGGTGGGGATGGTGTGCCAAGTGACCACATAGCCTGACCCCATCTTTGTGACTTAAAGTGAGGTCCCAGCTACAGGGCTTGCTAGAGAGTTCCCCCGGAGCTTGCCAGAGCACACTTCAAACTGGGCTTCTGAGGGAGTTAGCTCACATGTATTCCTTTATCAGCTGGCAGGGGAAGAAGGTAAGATACCTGGAAATGATGCCCACAAGGGGTTTGTGAGGGGGGACATATCATATCGGGAGAGCAGTGCTTCCCTTCTTACAGAACGGCGTGACTGCGCCATCGTGGGGTGCACCATCCTGGGGAAAGGGTTCTGGGTAGAAGAGCCTGGCAAGGAGGAAGCCACCTCAGAGGCGGCTTCACCATGAAGTCTGTTGGGCACAAAAATGGCTTTTTCCTCTAATCAAATTGATTCTGCTTTGCTGCCATTTCAGGGTGCCAGGAATTACCAAGGTTTCTGGAAAATCAGGGTTGGACACCCTGACTACTGCTGCATTTGCCATCCTGGACTGCCCTCTGGTGGAGAGCTGCTGAACTGACGGTCTCTAGGATATAGTCGAAGGCTGCATAGAATTGAGGCAGCAGGGCTTACAGGGGACCTCAGCAGGGGCTAGAGTGCTGGCCTGGGCGCACACTCGCAGGCTGGGGAACAAAGCCATCCTGCCTGCTAGGTGATATGCGGTGGCGTGGTTTCAGCATGCAGCGTGCAGCGTGCAACGTGCAGCATGCCTATGTATGAGGGCTGCTCCTCCCAAGTCCTAGGACATGGCAGTCTCATGCCTACTCTTTCTCTTCTGCATTGGCAAGGGAACTGGGGCCCAAAGGGTCAGAAGGCGGATATGGCCTTCCCAGAACACACAATCGTCTCATCTCTCCTTCCCGATCCCTTTACACGGTTCCCCAAGCTTCCTGGAGGAGTCTGGGTGAGAACAGCAGGGGGTACAATGATGTCTGCTTAGGAGAGCAGGCTGACAGCCAAACCATACCAAGAGGAAGCCCAGTGGGGTTCTTCTGGGTGCTGACCGAGGGGCTGGAGTGGAGGTGGGCAGGGCTGGCTTTGCCTGGGCACCTGATGCCATTACTCTTCAGAGACTTCAGGGTCCCTTTGCTGCTTTGCATTTTTTTAATTAATTTTTTTTATGTGTATGGGCCGTTTCCTTGCATGGTGCTTATGTACCACGTGTGTGCCTGGTGCCTGAATGGGCCAGAAGAAGGGTTCAAATCTCCTGGGACTAGAGTTACAGACAGTTGTCAGCTTCTGCATGGGTGTTAGGAATTGAATCCAGGGCCTCTGGAAGAGCAGCTAGTGATCTTAATCGCTGAGCCATCTCTCCGGTCCCTCCATGGCTGCTATTTTAGAGATGGAGAAGGTGGCAACTTCTCCAGGGTCACTTGAGTATAAGTGTAGAACCAAGCTTCATACTAGATCAGCTAGCTCCAGGCCCATGCTCACGGCCATTCTCCCTGCGAGGTAGTGGTCTCTGCTTCCATCACCATCCTATGCACACTCACAAGACTGTATGGGCAACAGCTGCTCTGGCTAGAGAGCGGCCAGCTGTGCAGGCTGTGGGTCCAGAGTCTGGGTTGCAGCCTGGACCACTCTGATACCTTTCTGACCTGGGGCATTAAGTTGGCTTTACCGAGGAGAGGACAGATGAACCTGGTCCCTGCCTGTCACCTAGGCGATGTGGCCAGAGGATCAAGAATTATGGACAGCCACCCCTGGGATAAAATGTCTGATACAGAGGATGTGCCAGCATGGCCAGGCAGGTTTTCAAGCTCTGCTCCATGCAAGCAAGGTGTTTGGGGGGGGGTCTAGAGTCACACTTCCCCCTTCCTAGCCCATTCTATTCCAGTGTCCCTGAGGCAAGACCTAGGTCTTCCTACAGTCCTGTTAGAGCAGTCGTCTCTAAGGTCAGCTCCCAGGAAATCAGCCCTTGGCGAGGGGAGCACAGGCTGGATCCTGGGTCATATACCATGACCTTGTAGATGGCTGAGTGTTCCAGAGTCTCACCCTCCCTGTTATTTTTGGTGGGAAGTTTCCCCATTTGATTTAGTGAAGTCAAGCTTGAGCCACAGAGAGTGATAACCCAGGCCCCGATGTTGATTTCCAGGTGCTTTAAAAGTGGCACCAAGGCACCCTTCATCCCCAAAAGCAGGGTGGGTGGAGAAAGAGAGAGGAGAGGGCGGGAGACAGATGTGGGGAGAGGGAAAGAGAAAGAAAGGAAAGCCAAGGCTGTGGCCAGAGCACAGCAGTCTGCTCTGGTCAGAGCTGAAAGCATTTGCCTCCTGGGATAGCTGACTGGGAAACTCCTTGCTATAGTAAAGTCTGAGAGCCACCATGGGAGGGGGCAGCTTTGTGTTTCCGGTCACAGCTCCATCCAAATGGCCACATGCAAACAAGCTTTCCAGGCTGAGCCATGGCACAGGTGAGGTGGGTGGCAGGGCGGCATGTGGTTGCGCCTGAAGCTTACCTCTGGGTAAGACCATTCTGGGGAGTAGTCAGTCACCATGAACACCCGTCCACTCTGCTGCAGCATACCCAGGGCGCCCTGGGCAGAGGCAGCCGAGACCACCTCGGCGACATGCATGTAGGCCATGGTGCCGGCCCCGCCCTCGGTGCCGCTCAGCTGCAGACCGCCCTGTTGGGGGCTGCAGCATGGGATGCACATCTCCGCCTGGGTGAAGGGTGCGCGCGCCCCATCTTCCGACTGTGAGAGTGCAGCGCTGTCCCCCGACACCAGCTGGTGCCCGTAGATTGCGCCGCTGCCCCCCTCCACAGAGATGAAGTCATTGATCAGGTCTGAGAACTGATTGCTGAAGGAGATGTCAAAGTGGTCCAGGCTGAGCTCCATATTAGAGGTGTTGCCCAGGCTGGGCTGGGCCACCGGGTAGAGTCCCTGCACCACATTGCTCGGGAGGATGGGGACACCTGCGCTGCGGATCACCCCATTGGTCTCTGGTTGCAAGTAGTGCTCAGAGCTACAGGCCTGCAGCTCCCCAGACTTGAGGAGGACCTCACTCCCTGCAGCTGCCTGCGAGGTCTCCATGGTAACCTCCCCTTCTGCGGTCATGGCCTGGAAGTTGGCCTGGAATTGCATGAGGTGCAGGGAGGAAGCAGACTCTATCCGCGTTTCCACATGGCCACTGCAAGAGCTGGTTTGGGACGAGGCCTCCGTTTTCACCGTGGGCATCACAAAGGTGGCCCCAGAGTCGCTCAGGCTGCTGTGGGTATTCTGCTCAAGGGGTAGGGGTTTGCTGGCATCCTGCAGGAAGAAGCTGGGGGAGGGGGTCTGGTGGATATGGGGGCTGTGGCCCGTCTGGCTGAAGCTGGACGCGTAGTCCTTGTTGGAGTCTATGGCGCTGAAGTCCATCTGTTCAAGGGTGGTGCTGGGACTCAGACCGCCGCCCGATGGCAGGAGGCTGGATCCTGCGCTCAGGGTAAGGGAACTGGACGCTGCAGCTGCCGCTGAGGAGGAATATGCCGCCTCTTTGGCCATCTGCTGCTCAAAGGAGGTGTCTTCGGTCTTGATCTCCTTGGTGAGGACGCTGGTGAAGCCAAAGCCCCTCTCCGAAGGCGGCGAGTGCCGGATATTGGTGCTAACCATCTCAGCTTTTAGGCCCCCACCCCCGTATGTCTGGCCCTGCTTTGGATTATTGAGGAAACAGTCGGGGTCAAAGTTCATGGCGGCTTCTGGAATCTTCCGGCCACCATCGAGGGTGGTGGAGAGGGCCAGCTCTTCGGACACATTGCTGGGCAGCATGGACAGGCTGTCTGAGCTGCCCGTGGTGGGGAAGGCAAACTTGTGGCCGTCAGAGCTTACAGCCAGTACAAGGCCCTGAGAGGCATCAGGCGAGAGGAGGTGGTGATTGGGGCCGGCGGTGGGGGACATGGTGTACACGGCCTCATTAGTGACCTCAGACATGAACACTGTGGCACTTTGGGACAGTCCCCCCATCACAGAGGCCACTGCCATGCTGGACACACCTGTGACAACTGGGCTGTCTACCATGTCTGGGTCGCTGTTGAGCCCGCTGCTGATGGACACCGGGGAGCTCTGGGTGGTGTCGGGGACCTCCACCTGGTTGGTGGAGGAAACCTCCGTGCTGCTCTGGTGCAGCAGTGATGGCTTGGCCACCTTGCCGTTCCTCTTTTCCCGGCTTGTGCCCCTGCCATGGCTGGGCTCATGCTTGCCCTCTGACACGTCGTTGTGTTGCACCTCCGAGTGACCCCCATAGCCCCCAGCCCGTGGCTCCACCTTCGGTGAGATGATGCGGTGTTTGGCACTGTTACACTTATGATGCACGCTGCTGCCCGCTCCTGTGGAGATGGGAGCACAACACACACACACACACACAGACACACACATGCATACATATGCACACATGGACACACACATACACACACATGCATACACATGCACACATGGACACACACACACACACACACACACACACGAGAATAAAGTCAGAGCAGGGACTTCAGCTAATTCTTCTCCCAAGAGCTAGAACCCTTTGCAAAGTCCCCATCCAGACCCCAGGCAGGACAGACCACAATCCTTGGGCACTTCTACTCCCAGACCTGGAGCTCTGCCACGCCCTGTGTGATCATCTTGCAATGATCAAATGTTTTGATCCTAGCAGCATGTGGAAAGCTAGGGGGTGGGAGAGGGGTGTCTTCTTCCAGGAATGTTCTCTTCACCCCCACAAATAGACACTGACCGTCTGGAGGGACACCCTGGGCTCATCCCAGGGACTGTGGCTGTCTCCATGCCCAACCCAACTTCCCACACCTGATTCTGTGTAATGCTTCAAGAAACATGGCCTTGAGGACCCTTGTTCTGGGGACCGGAAAGCAGAGGCTGCCCAGGGAGGAGGAGGATGAACCCTTCTCCAGGCCAGCTCTCACACCCTAGGATCAGAAGCATTCTAGACTCTGCTCCAGGGTGAGAACTTACTTACATCTTTTATTACATTAAGTCTCTGTATATGTGGATGGGGAGGGATGCATGGGCCATGGCATTGGTGCGGAAGTCAGAGGACAACCGACATGAGTCGGGTCCCTCCATCCACAGACCCAGGGTATCAGGCTTGGTTGCAAGCAGTTTCGTCTCCTGAACCATCTGGCCACCCAACATGAAGGTATTTGAGGTAACCCATTAAGCCAGGACCTGTCCTCAACTCTTTGGGTGTGGTGATATTTTGTTTATGATCTAACAAATAAAGCTTGCCTGAAGATCAGAGAAGAAAAGCAGCCAGCCACTAGAGAGTTCTCACCTCTACCAACGCTCAGACCGAAGGGGCGGTCCTGGCCTCAGACCGCACTGTTCTCCTCCAAACCTCAGACTCACTGAGCTCCAGTCTCCACCTGCCTTATATTCCTCTCTAGTGCTGGGATTAAAGGTGTGGGATCCCAGGTGCTGAGATCACCTTTGTGTGAGCTCGGTTTCTCTTTTAGACTGGATCAAATTCATGTAGCTCAGGATGGTCTTGAACTAACAAATCTGTCTGCCTGTCTCCCTAGTGCTGGGATTAAAGGTGCGTGCCACCACTGCCTGGCCTCTGTGGCTAACTAGTGTGGCTATCTCTGCATTATGGTCTTCAGGCAAGCTTTATTAGTTATACCATAACAAGATATTGCCACAGTTGGGACCTTCCCATCTTCAGGGATCACCCCTTCCATTCCGTTAGGCAAGGGTCATTTTGCCTTTGAGAAAAGGGCGGATTCTTCCTGATTCTGATTCTGTTTCAGGCTCACCAGCTAGACTCCCAAATGGGAGTGACACAGAGGAGTGACCCAACTGATGGATGGAAATGTCTAATGAAGGCAATCAGGAGAGGGAAGAGCCTTGCCCACAAAACAAATGCCATGGTCAGAAAAGCAGAGGCGATAGGGAGGGGTGTAGGACATCTTCCCCTCCTGCAAGAGACAGAGGCTAAACATAGGTTTAGCTTGAGCCGTCCCAGACTCAGAGGATGCTGCAAACCTCAGAGCTGGCCACAGAGCCTCCTGCTAGAGTTTCCTAAGGACATGTCCCCGTGGACACCCGCAGTGAGTGTGTGAAGGCCCTGGCACAGCTGTGTGTTTTTCCTTGTCCCTACGGCCTCACTGGAAACTGCTCTCTCCTGTCCAAAGCAGGCTATGATTGTGGTGGTGGGGCAGGGCCAGGCCAAAGGGTCCACTGGGTCCCCTTAGCTGCTGTGATATCAACTGGTTCCTCATCTCTTCCCTTTCTGGATAGGATAGGAGGGGCCCTGTACCCCATACTTCCTGTTTTCTAGGATCCCCAACTCAGGATTCACAGGACAGGGTGGCCTCATACCTTCTGCCCCAGAGACCTCTACTCATTCCTTCCTTGGATGGATTGGACAGCAGTGTCCCCCCCCCCAACTGTGCCCAGTGCCACCTGGCTTCTGGAGACCCCGGCCTACCCCTTTCCTCACTGGGCAGTACAGCAGAGCCCACCACCTGGTACCCAGTACCACGTGTCCCCAGGGGGCCCAGCTCACCCAGGCTGCCGGTGCAGAGGCAGTTGTGGGTCCGAGGCTGGGGCTTGGTCTGATGGCTGTCAAGGATCTGCTGGACCAGCTGCTCCACTGAGAAGCCTGAGCTGTTGTTCCCATTGCTGCAGGTCCACTTGATACCATGGACTGCAGAGAGAGAGAGAGAGCGAGAGAGAGAGACAGAGAGACACAGAGAGAGTGAGAGACAGAGAGAGAGGGAGAGAGAAAGAAAGGGAGAGAGGAAGAGAGAGCGAGAGTGAGAGACAGAGAGAGAGTGAGAGACAGAGAGAGGGAGAGAGAGACAGAGAGAGAGAGGGAGAGAGAAAGGAAGAGAGAGAGGAAGAGAGAGACAGAGAGAGGGAGAGAGAAAGAAAGGAAGAGAGAGAGGAAGAGAGAGCGAGAGAGAGACAGAGAGAGAGAGACAGAGAGAGGGAGAGAGAAAGAAAGGAAGAGAGAGAGGAAGAGAGAGCGAGAGAGAGACAGAGAGAGAGAGAGAGAGGAGCACAGGTCTGTCAGGGGTTACTGGTGATGGGGCTGTCCTGGGGTGGGGGGGTGGTGTCAGGCTCTCTGGAAGCCCAGCATGCCGGAAGGCCACCTCTAGGACCGATTTGGGAGGCCAAGCCCGCTACCAGAGCCTCTGCTCTTGCAGGAGCTCTGAGCTCTTCCTTGCTTTCCTCCCTTTGCTGAACCGGGGAGTAGTTTTCACTTCTATTTCCCCAAAGTTAAAAGCATTGAGATGGCTCTCTGGGGTGGGGGTGGGGGAGGGAGTTCCCAAGAGGAAGTAGGGAACAAGGACCGATGAAGACAGGAAGTTTGGGAGGCTCCAGCATGTCTGGAGACTGTAGGCTTTGCAGAAGTGGAAGGATTCAGGGAGCAGGAGGGCTGGGGAGCATGCGTGGAGGGGGCTTTACCCCTACAGGGAGATTTCTGCTTCCTACCCTCCCCACACGTCTCCACTCCAAAGGGAATCGCAAGAGAGGTTGGGGTGGGAACCATGATCCCGAGTGTAGGGGACTCAGTCCCAGTTCTAATTGATAATCCACCATCCTTTGTTCGGGGCTTTTGGCTCCTATGTGTCTGCAGGCCCTAAAGTTGGGGTGAAGAGCCCAGAAAGAGGTTTCCACCTGCCTGGCAGCATGAGGCTGGAGGGACCCCTAAGACAGGCGGACTTGCCCTGTTGAGTGTGTGGAGGAAGCATTCCCTACCAAGAGTGAGTTGAGCCCTGAGGGGATGCACGGATCACCCACTCAGGTGTCTCAGACAGTGAGCCCACAGCTCTGCGCCTCCAGGAAGGAGGTGAGCATACAGGTGGGTGTCAAGGGCAGGCTCCGGAAGGCAGGCATAGGGGGTGTCTAAGCTATAGGACAGGGAGGAGTTGGGCCAGGCTCACACCTGGGTTTGAGGCAGGGGTTTGATGTCCCGTGAACTCAAGGTGCGTTAGTTTGCCTCTTTGAGTGTGCCTCCTTGTCTGTAAGTTACAGTGGGAATCGACGAGGGCGTACCTCCCAGCTAGCGGAAGGCCATCTGTATGCTGCTGTGCAAACTGAGCAAACAATAGCATTGTCACAGCTGTTACAGTGTTGGTGGTGACAAGGACAAAGCAGGTGGCGGCAGCAGGGCCCTTGGGTGTGGCTGAGGCCCACAGAGTCTGTGCATGGGAGCTTCAGACAGCTCAGCCTTCCAAAGCCATTGCAGACCCCACAGGGGGACATTCACCTCAAGTTGCCTTTCCTTATCACATCTGTGGTGGGTTTTTAAAGAGAAGAAGCCAGGTCTGTGGCTGTGCTCTGGAGGGCATTTCTCCAGGCTGTCTTCCTTTTGGGCTCCTCCTGTCCCCATGGCCAGGTGATGGTCACCTTCCTTGCCCTTTACGCCAATGTCTTCTGATGTCCCCAGTGAGTTCCAGCTTCTGGTGGGTCAGAGATGATGAGACTAGGTGTCCTTTGCTGTGAGCGAGTCTCCCGTCTGCCCAGCCTGGGAGACGCCCTGTCCATTCCGAGCTCTATGGAATGCACCTGTACAGCAAGATGATGGCGTCTGTGGTCCATCCTGCTGCAGGTGGGGGAAGGGAGCACTGTCCTTGGGCTCCCTGTGTGTGGGAATGGAAAGCCCCACAGATCCAGGAGGCTGTAGGTCTTGCTAACTAAACCCATTTGGGTTTCTTCTTTCTGATCATCACGTCCCCAGGATATTTCCAGGAGCTGGAAAGTATGGCCCAGGCCAGGAGTTGCCACGCCTCACCACAACTGTAGCGTTTCCTTTTCAAATGATCCTCTGTCTAGAGTCTGTCACACAGGCTGAACGGCAGCAGGAGGGTCCTGGGCATGGACCAGGCCACTGGCCACTCCAGATTCATTTCACAGATGAGGAGACAGTCTCGGGGAGGGAAGGAGGGCAGCAAATATCATATCCAGGGACCAGAGGTACCATGGGACTCTCCTGCTCCCTGGAAATGTGTAACAGCCTATACCAGCTGCATGTCCCCTACACCGTACCAAGATATTGTGGGGCTGGTGTTTCAGGAATGATTCAAGGCTCCCACAGTGTTCGTGTGTGCCTGTGTGAGTATATGTGTATGTCTGTGTGAGTGTGTGCATGTCAGTGTGAGTGCGTGTATGTGTGTGTGAGTGTGCATATGTCTGTGTGAGTATATGTGTATGTCTGTGTGAGTGTGTGCATGTCAGTGTGAGTGCGTGTATGTGTGTGTATGTGTCTGTGTGTATGTGAGTGTGTATGTGTGAGAGTGTGTATGTCTGTGTGTATGACTGTGTATGTCTGTGTGTGTGAGTAAGTATGTGAGTAAGTATGTGTGTCCTTAAATGCCATCAAGATAGAACACATAACTCTGTCCTGACCCTAATCCAGCAAGGAGTTCAAGGCCAGGAAGGAGGCCTTGCACCAGAGCATCCATTATGGGAGCCTTGAGCAGGCGCGGGCTGCAAAGCTATGCTCTTTGGGAGCCCCCCCTTACTTGAATTTGGCTTTCTAGAGAGATGAGTATTCTCAGGGAGACCCCAGGGCTGGCTTCTAGTCACATGCCAGTCCTAGCCCATGCTTGGGTTGGGTGGACTTGTTAAGCCCCCCGGGGCTGGTGGCATCTTCCTGAATTTTTCACCATCTCCCTCCATTTTTCTCCACCCCCACCTCATCCTCTCTGCCTCTTTCTTTCTTCCTTATGTTGTGAAAGTTATAAAATGAAAACCCAGCGGAGGGTGACAGATTGCAAGCAGCGAATTTCTGGATGCTTAATGCAAATTACCTAGTGTCTTGGTATATCCAATATGCAGAATGTCTTCCTCCTCCGTCCGGGGGAGGGGGAGAAAAGCCCCCTCCTTCAAGGTGGGGAGCTGTTAGTACTGAATATCAAATACTATCAAGACGGCTTTTAACATGTCATGCTCGGCTTCTCGACACGTAATGAGTCAGTGGGAAAGGAGATTTCTACCGCAGAAGAAAAAGTGTTTGGAAAGGAAGGTTCATAAACGAACAGGGCACTTACCACTCACCACCCCTGCCCAAGGCCAACACCCTCTCAATGACAGCTACAAAAGGAAACTCAGGAAGCGCCCTCCGTCAGATGCAAGGTCACAGTGGGGTACAGAGAGGAAGAAAAAAGGAATGGCCAGGAAAATGGCGTGGCTGGCTCTGGGACACATCCCCGGCTCCTGGCCACTCTTTTATTCCCTCTGGCTCAGGAAGATGCATCAGCTAGAAAAATAATCTCAGGCAGAGGGACCCTTTCTTCAGGTCTCCGTACATGGCCCGGTCCAGGGGTAGCAGAGAACCTGAGTCTCCAGGAAGGCAGGGACAGGGAATGTGAGAGAGAGGAAGTCAAGCAGGCATGGAGCAGGTAAACTGGCCCCAGTATAGGTTTTCTCAGGACAGGGACAGCAGGGAGACCACACTGACCTACAGGAAGCAGATGCTGGGACCTTAAAGGGCTCCATCCTGTGGCTTCCTGCTGAGTGTTCTAGGGGCCCTGTGCTGCCTGCTGAGAGGCTGTGAGGACCTGTGGTCAGAGACGCAGCTGGGGGTAGCTGTCAGAGAAACCCATTGCCTTACCCCGTGGCTGACCTGGCCTGCCAGCATGCTCTCCCTAATCAGAACTGGGACACAGCAGCTTCGACCACTATGGATAAATGAAACCAACTAGGGCACAGGGCTGTGCTCAGAGAGGCAGGCAGCTGCCATGGGACGGTGAGTGTGACGGGAGGAAAGGGTTGGTGAAGGCGGGGGACGTTATCTTATCATGGGCTACTGCCAGCCAAGGGCATGCTAGGTATAGCAGCCCCATCCATGGACCTCCAGAGGAAAGGGAGGCATGGACGCCTCCGCCAAAACCCATTTTCCCCTCTGGTGACTGAATGGTGTCCCCCACAGCTACACATGGGAACCCCCAACAAATCTATAAGCACCATTAATCGGTGAGGTCGTAAGACTTGGTGCCGTAGGCAGACGCACCACAAGTGTTTGCATGCAGAGAGAAGCCATGTGAGGTCATAATAAGACAGCGGCCAAAGGCAGAGCACAGCCAGAAAGGGGCCTCACCAGAAGCCAACCTCAAAGTCACCTTGACCTTGGCCTTCCGGTCTCCAGAACTGGGGACAGCAGGTTTCCACTGTGTACGCACCCAAGTGGCGCTCACACCCAAGTCAGTGGCGCTTACGGAAGGGGCTGGGGGAGCAGGGGGAGCGTGTTGTGGTTCACAGCTGCAAGGGAGGATGGACGGTGCTGGGACTCAGCCAGAGGGAGGCCAGTGATTCCAGTCACGGCCGCCCTGCCGGAAGCCTGGGTGTGGTGTGGCTGCGGCTCCTTGCTTATGTCCCCTGAAGAGTTTTTCCGCCTCAGCTCTCATCTACGGATCTCATCTGCGAATGGATGTCATGACACTTCCCCTGATTATGTGGCAGAGGGACAGTTGCTTCTGCTGTGATAATTCACTCTAGGGAGACCCTGGGAGGGGACAGGACAGGGGAGGAAGGAGAGGCCCTTCAGCCCTGGTGGCCCTTCGTTTCTGCCTGACAGGGCAGGCGTGTCAGCTCCCATCACAGCAATGGCGTGTGTGCACCAGGGAGAATCTGCGTTGGTCCTTTTTCTTCCCCAGGAAGAGATCCTTGGCACTGTGGCAAAGAGGTGACAAATGGCAG